ATAATAATAATAATAATAATAATAATAATAATAATAATAATAATAATAATAATAACAAATAAAACAAAAATGATTTAATAACAAAACTAAACATAAGTGAATTAATACATGGACGCATATATTAAAATGCTAAACTTTGGACACTTAAGTCTACAAACAATTTTTTGTTTTAAACAATAAACAATGTCAATAAAGTTAATAATTATAATAATAACAAACAAAAAAAGAAAATACATGAATTAATAAAATTTTTACTTTAATAATTTTAATTAACTATTATGTAATACTTTCCCCAAGCTACTGACAAATTAATTTTTTACTTTATCAATTAATTTGTGCTTGGATATAGGGAGGGGTTTATTTATTTATTTATTTATTATTTTATTTATTTAATATTTATTTGTATCTTTTTAAGTCAAAGTGCGTTATTTATTGTATCACACAAATCAATCGTGCTATCAAGTCTTTGGTATTTCACCCGCACGCTATTTATTTTTTTTTTCTTTACTTCAACTAATATATATATTTAATATATATATAAATAAATATATTAGTTATATATAGTACGTATTTTATAAAGAAAAAAATTATAAAATAATTATTTATTTATTTTATATAAACTAAATGTTTGTTAAATAAACCTGTCAAAATACTGCATTATTTTGGTAAATTTTGATAAATTCTTTTCTTTATTTATTATTCTTTAGTTTATATAATTTGGCTAATATATATTGATTAAAGATATATTTATATATTTTTACTTATTAATATATATTAATGTACTTTTTTTTACTTAATTTTCTTTTAGAATCATCTCACGTATTTTATAAACGGCGGTACGTTAAAACGTACGAAAATTTGCCGTGAGAGTAAGAATAATAATAATAATAATAATAATTAATTATTTTTATTAAAAAAAAAAAAAACAACAAAATTATTTGATAATTGACACAAAAAATAAGGCGTAATCCCCTTACTTAAATTTTTTTTTAAGTAAATATTTAAGTTAAGTTAATTAAATTAATTTTTTTAGATTAATTTAATTAGACATGTTAATGAGTGCGTCTGATAATAATAATAATAATAATATAAACTTCGTTTATTGTTTATCATTAAAACAAGCTTCTCTTCCACATCCTTTTTTGTAATTGACGAGACGAAGAGATTGCGGTGCGTTGCGTTTATTATTTTGACGTTGACTATATTCAGACGTGTGTGTTGGGCAGGGGATTAGAGAAAACGAAAAAGTTGAAGAAAAAAAAAAGAAACAAAAAATATAAAAAAAAAAATACACGGGGATTGGTGTGTTTTTTTTGGTAAGTTTTAGTTTTTAATTTTTGAAATTGAATTTTATATAGAAGTGATTTTTTTTTTTTTGGTGGAAAAAAATTTATTTAATTTAAAAGAAGAAATTTTGAGCTAAATTATTTTTTAAAAACTATTTTTTGGGTAAAGAATTTGTATTTTTTAATTTTGAAAGTAAAAATTGATTTTTGGAAAAAAAGAAATTTATTTTATTAAAGAAAATAAATTTTTAAACACTATAATTTTGAATTTTTGGTTTTAAAAAAATTTTCAAAATTATTTTGTTGGTTCAAAATTTTTTTTATTGACCAAAAAAACTTTTTGGTTAATTATTTAAATTTTAGATCAAAAAATTGAATTTTATAAAGATTTTTAATGGAAAATTTCTCAATAGAGAAATTTTTAAACTAAGAGAATAATTTTGAGGAATTTTCTTAGTTAAAAAATTTTCTTGCTTTTTTTATAGAGCTCAAAAAAAATTTTCAAAATTATTTTCATGGTAAAAAATATCTTCTCATAAATTAAATAAATTTTTTAGCGGATTAATTATGAAAATTTTAAATCCAAAAATTGAATTTTATAAAAAATTCTTTTTGTTTAACAAAATTTTTCTACATTTAATGGACGGTAAAAAAAAACACTAACCTTGAAAAATTTATCAAAATTAAAATTTGAAAAAATTTCAAATCAAAAAATTCAATTTTTTTAAAAAAAAACAATATTTTGAAAATAGAAACAAAAATATTAACTTTAAAAAATTAATCAAAATTTAACTTAAAAAATTTTCAAATTAAAAAACTTGATTTTTTTTAAGAAAAAAAAAATTATTTTTTATATTTTGAAAATAATTCACTTTTATATAATTTTCAAAATAAAAAAACCGTCTCCCCGTGAAAAGCGAAAAAAAAAAA